TGAGAGAGAACGCCGATGATGCGTTTTATGAGCTGCAAAACCCCAAAGAGCAGATTCAAGCTTATGTATTTGATGGTAATTTTACTATATTGGTTAATTGGGGTTTCAATTGTTACGCTAGTAATTGAATTGAATTGAATTGAATTGGTGTGCGTAGTGGTTAGAGCTCTGGTGCCGAGAATGACGTTGGACGAGCTCTTTGAGCAGAAGGGTGAGGTTGCGAAAGCAGTGTTGGAGGAACTTGAGAAGGTAAAATTTAAAATGATGAGATGAAGTGTTTACTGTACTCGTGATCGTTTTGGGTGGAATGCATGATTGTTACTATTTTATCGTATCAATGCTTTGAATTGAATGAGTTTGAGTTCAATTGGATTGTTGTGATTGCTTCTCACCCGTTTGTTTCGAGCAAATTTTGTTCTTTATTGTTATGTTTCGTTCTCTCATAAACTTGTTATGCAAGAAATGTTTTGTTTTACATGATTTCTTACGTTGTATGCTGAAATTTCTGATCAGGTTATGAGAGAATATGGATACAGCATAGAGCACATACTGATGGTTGACATTATACCTGATGCCTCTGTCCGCAAGGCAATGAACGAAATCAATGCAGGTCATTGTCTTTGATTTTTCTTTCCCTGATTTTACTCATGGACATAGTTTCTGCTTGTATGTGTGGTAGGGTGACACATGTTTTGGGAGTTAGTATATTGTAGGACTGGAAGTTTTGGTTAGCCCTGGGTTTTGAGAACAAACATTTGGAATGGTTATGTGCTATGGTTTACTCAGTTGCGTCTCTTCGATTTTTGTACAGAAGTGTGATACTCGTGACATTCTGACAAGATATTCTTATAACATATCTGGCCTCATAATGTTTGGATTCTGCTGTTTATGTTTAAGCTGTAATTACATCTGAATTTGCTTCATGAAATTACTTTATATGTTGGAGCGAGCAAACGTTGCTTTTCTTAACTTTTGGAACATTATTCACCCAGACTCAAAAGTCATCGTAGAAGCTCAACTTATTTGTTATATGTTCTTGGTTAGCTCAAAATGTTGAATTGTGCACACTGGTCGGTGATTTGCAGTTTTAATATATGTTAATGGCTTGTAATTAAAGGCTCATTCTTGTTTATATACTGAAAAATGGAGCATCTGTACTGCAGCTCAAAGGCTCCAGCTTGCCAACGTATACAAAGGAGAAGCAGAGAAGGTGCTTCAAGTGAAAAGCAGAAGCTGAAGCCGAGGCCAAGTACCTTGGTGGAGTTGGTGTTGCCAGGCAGAGGCAGGCAATCACCGATGGATTAAGAGAGAACATCTTGAATTTCTCAGGCAAGGTGGAAGGCACCTCGTCAAAGGAGGTGATGGATATGATTATGATCACTCAGTACTTTGACACGATGAAAGACCTTGGGAACTCATCGAAAAACACGACAGTTTTTCTACCGCATGGTCCGGGTCACATTCGGGACATCGGTGATCAAATACGCAACGGACTAATGGAGGCATCTAGTGCTCAGCTAAATGCCGAGTAAATATGACCTTTTGGACACCAACGGGTTAAGGTTGTTACATAAGACAGTTTATAACTTTACGTAATCCGATCGGATTCGTTTAATTTTGTTTGCATTTCTTTTGGAATGAAGATCATGGTGTTCTTACACCATGACGATGATGTGAATATATGAAGAAATCATAATGCAGCCCAATATATGTACAGCTCTAAATGAAGTATTTATTTTGTTCTAAATTGTTGAGTTCCGGCACGTTTTATATCCTGTATCGTGAGTTAACAAAGTGGGCTTCACCTGTTTAAACTAAGGCCCATGGAACAAGAGTCCATTGTATTCTGGACTAGTTCATTTGATTGGGTTGGGCCTCAGGTAGCACAGAAAGGCCCAAATAGAATATTTGTCATGAATTGTTTTTTTTTTGTAGATATATATGATAAATTATTTAGTGTGATTCTCAATTGTCACGTGGCGTTGCGGCGTTATGAATCCATGTGTTATAATATGTTGGACAATATTGATAAATTATGGGCCAATATTGTACTTACAATGCTTGTAATTGCATGAATCGATTGGTAGCATTACCTAACAACGTGACGATTTTCCTGAAGCTCTCGTGACGTAGGAGCACAGAGGTGGCATAATTATCTTTTGTTCATCTTCAGGACTATGCTTGTGCCATGTCGATGATATATAGCACAAAATTCAAAGATGGAATTGTGTAGGACAAATGGGTGGCATACTAGCAATCCAATACGACCGCCCTAGTCTAGCTTGTAGACCTAACTCGACCTAAAACATTTATTCGGCTCCACACAAATGTTGTGTCGTAGGCAGGCCATAACCAAAGAAAAAGTAAACCTAAAGTTTATTACTTAATCAACCTACTAATTATAAAAGCGAATATTTTTTTATTACCACCATAATTCATGTTGATATTCACCGTCAATTTATCATTATTAAATACGTTTAAATTTCGAGATTTATGTATCAGATATACTCAATTCTCAAAACTTAAATTCATCGAATGGTGAGACAGCGTGTAACAACCCACATCGTCCAAATGAATGGATCACATAAGCCTTATATGTATATTCTCATCTTACCTAGCATTAGGTATTTTGGGAGCTCACTGGTTTCGGGTTCCATCGGAACTCCGAAGTTAAGCGAGTTCGCGCGAGGGCAATCGCATGATGGGTGATCCACTGAGAAGTTCTCGTCTGAGTTCCCATAAACAAAACCGTGAGGGCGTGGTCGAGGCCCAAAACGGACAATATCATGCTATGGTATAGTCAAATTCAGGATGTGGTGGGGACCCGGATTGAGATGTGACACAGAAAGTGATAAACAATACCATTATTTGAAGACGGTGAGCAAGAATACATCCATTATAAAAAGCGTTAGGGTTAAACGTGGAGCAATTAGTAAAACCCTTTTGCCCAAAAAATAAAGTAGAATAATACGTTTAGGTGGCCAACTTTGAGTGGTACAGAGATGTAATCATAAAATTATAGGGAATATTTAGAGGGGGATTTTTTGTAATGATAATGTATGATGACTATCAGGGTGAGATTAGATAATTGGAGATTTTGATTTGACGGGAGTGCACTTAATTAATTTGTTTTCTTCTTTTTTTTTGGTATTTACTGAATGACAAGAAATTATAATGACTAAGAGGTGAGATGGATTTTTCAACCTTTTAGGGCTCAACAGGTGGAGTCATTATTCAGTATGCTCGGAATATAATTATGTGGCTTTATTATTTCATTTTTCTCAAGTTATAACTTATAACACATGAATTATTACTTAGTAATGCAATTCAGTTTTATTCTTTTTCATTTGTAAATGAGATGTTTTAGGTTCGATTTTCGTTAAAGGCGAATTTGAACCACATTATTACTAGCTCATTATGAGACTAAACTCACCCCATCTCTCTTAGTGCAGCAGATGATTTTTTTTATTAATACACTATAAAGTGAGACAAATTAACAGTATCGTTTACGTTTACCTTACCAAATCAACTTGTGTTTTCAGTACGCATAAAAATCTCTCAAAAGAAGCGAGAATCTTAGTTTTATTAATTGGGAAGTAAAAAGTGACCAATGTCAAAGAGATACAGAGCTAGTTCTTGGTGTGATTTATATTTTATTTGATGTTGGTTTGAACACTAAGTTGTGTTTAGGTTTTGGTTTTTCAAACAAGAAAGAAGAAAAAAAAAAAAAGCTTTCATTAAAATTCTTTTTCCAATTTAGCCACTTGGTAGGAAAAACCTACATGGAGAGATGCCATTGTAACAAAGTCAAATGAAAAATTGCACAAATTAACAATTTTCATTTTTGAGTGCTAGGATCAGTTGTTCACCGACACGCGAGTGATTGTGAGTTGTTAATGTATGAGATTTGGTTTGCACGCATCAACGATTCACAATCACATGATACCCGTCTTGCTACGCACCAACGATTCATAGGCTCAAAGTCACCTGAAGGTAAGGTACCGTTTGGCGTTTTTTCTCTTCAATCGGCTACTCTAATAAAGTGTATAGGTAAGTCATTACAATCAAAACTCAAGGACCACAACTTTTAGGTGTGGGGTTAGTGGTTAGAGATACTAAAACTTTGTGAAAAGAAATTGATTTGAGTACTATCTTTGTCATTATAACACATCATACATGTGGTTGAAGTTCATGTGAATGAAATCATAGAAAGACAGACACTTTAGAATACAAAAAAATAGCCTTATTAATTGAATTGCCCCTTGTAATTGCTATTTAATCTCAATTTATGTTTGAAATTAGTTTTGTCTCCTGCCATTTTCAACTCTTTTAGTCTCATTTCACCTTATTTCATTAAAGAACGCTAAATTCTAACCTAGTAAATCATTAAATTTCTTTTTCTTTCGTCGTGAATTCTAATTTGTTTCGCCAAGAAGATAAGTTGATTGAACTAAAGAGTACGATGGATGCAACACAAAGAGGTGTGTAAAAAGTGAAATATTCAAAACACCCTTGCATTTAACGTTTCTTCAGCAAAATGAGGTGAATTAAGATCAAAAGAGTTGAAAATGACAGTTATATGGACAATTCAATTAATAAAAATAAAAAATAAAAATAAACACCAAAGCAGGTGGTACAGATAATTCAATTCCCTACCCCACCATCAAATACCCAATTTAACCTTTACTTTTACCAAGCATGTGCAAAAGAGTAGTTGGATTAAAAAATGATGTATTTCTGCATAAATCCATATCTAATCAGTAATTATATATTATCATTCATGACCAGTTTTTCACTTTTCTGTGTGGAACTTTCTCAATTATTGATGGAACAGCAGTATGGAATACAAAGAAATAAAGTTTCCATTTTCCCTCATAAAACCAAAGTCACCAAAAAATAAAATGGGCCACAAGCAATAAATACCTACCAAAATTCATTTCATATCATATCAATTTTACGTAATTTTTCTCGAGTACTTACATTCATTTAGTTTCGACACATTTAATCATCTAACTACTTAAATTGAGTGATCAAGGAATGGTCAAATGCATATCGACTCTAAATGTCTGCAGGTACTCACGAAAAATGGTGGACATGGGGTTTCAAAATTCAAACACAAACAAGAAAAAAAAGAGGGAGGGGAGAGATGATATAAAGGGAAGAAAGCTTAATTATGGAGGAGCATTTGAAAGTGTGAAGATTCTTGTAGAAAAGAGTGTTGTCCTATACTAATCATCATATCTACTTTCCCTTTAACAAGGACTTGAGTGGAGAGTGAACAAATGAATTCATTCCTCCTATCCATACAGGGGTTTTCCCTTCCTTTCCCTCCTGGTTGGTGAGCAGTCAGTATTTGCCTCCCTTTGCCGACAGCGACCTCTGTGCCTTCACCAAATTCAGTAGCAAATGAAATCAGAGGTAGAAAGAGAGTAACAACATTTTACTCCCCCCACTAACTACACTTAATTAAAAAGGGTTTTTTTTTTTGAGTAAACTGTCATTTCACCCCCTAAACTATCACGTGAGTTTCAATTTCCTCCCTGAACTATTTTTTCAGCCAATTGACCCCCTAAACTATGTTAAAGTGGCCAATTAACCCCCTACCGTTAAGTATCTTTAACTCCATCCAATTTTCTGTTAGAAAGTGTCATGTGCTTGGCACATGACCACCTTTTTACATTTTATGTCTAAATCTTTACAAAGAAAACATATAAAACAAATATAAAAAAAAAAACATACAAACCCTAAACTTAATCATTCAAAATAATAGAAAAAATAAGGCTTTTTATATTAACACCCCATAAAATGTTGAATGCACCCATATTAAAATTTAATATTAAATGACTTATTTACTCTACTATGCAATGACAATTTTGACCTTATTAGGTTTTAAAAAAAAAATTATAAATACACCCCAAATCACTTTTAGCGTATTATTTATCTTCTCAACTATCAAAACCCTCTCATCCTCCATTGTTGAACAAAACCCTAATCAATGAAACTACAAACATGTTGATTGAGAAAAATTGTTTTTGACGAATGAAACACGAAATTGATGTTTCTGAAGCTTCACATGAGGTAAGACTTCACATTTTTCATTGTTTTAGTGATTTCGATGACATCGATAATTATTTAATCTTGCGTTTGCTGCATTATTTAAACTTATATATTCATATTCATATTCATATTCATCTTTTAGGGTTCATATTGAAAAATAATGCAGCAAACGCAAGATTAAATAATTATCGATGTCATCGAAATCACTAAAACAATGAAAAATGTGAAGTCTTACCTCATGTGAAGCTTCAGAAACATCGATTTCATGTTTCATTCATCAAAAACAATTTTTCTCAATCAACATGTTTGTAGTTTCATTGGTTAGGATTTTGTTCAACAATGGAGGATGAGAGGGTTTTGATAGTTGAGAAGATAAATAATATGCTAAAAGTGATTTGGGATGTATTTATAATTTTTTTTAAACCTAATAAGGTCAAAATTGTCATTGCATAATGGAGTAAATAAGTCATTTAATATTAAATTTTAATATGAGGTGCATTCAACATTTTGTGGGGTGTTAATATAAAAAGCCTTACCTTTTCTATTATTTTGAATGATTAAGTTTAGGGTTTGTATGTTTTTTTTTTAATATTTATTTTATATGTTTTCTTTGTAAAGATTTAGACATAAAATGTAAAAAGGTGGTCATGTGCCAAGCACATGACACTTTCTAACAGAAAATTGGATGGAGTTAAAGATATTTAACGGTAGGGGTTAATTGGCCACTTTAATATAGTTGAGGGGGTCAATTGGCTGAAAAAATAGTTCAGGGGGGAAATTGAAACTCACGTGATAGTTTAGGGGGTTAAATGACAGTTTACTTTTTTTTTTTATCAAAATGGTCTTTGAGATTAACATAATACTTCTTAATTTGGTTCCTGAGATTTAAAATCAGTAGAACTTGTTCTTGAGTTCGTACACCGTCAATCATTTTGGTCATTCCGTGAAAAATCTTCATTAAATAAAGAGAAAATGACAAAAATACCATCAGATTTTGTTGAATCATTTTGGTCTATTTTATTAAATTGAGGGTATTTTTATCATTTTTTCTTGTTTAAAGGAGATTTTTTACGGAATGACCAAAATGATTGACAGTGGACAAACTGAATGACCAGTTATACCGATTTTAAATCTCGGGGACCAAAATGAGAAGTTATGTCAATCCCCAAGACCATTCTGGCTAAAAATGCCATTAAAAAGTGAGAACTTTCATTGATCGCGAGAGAAGTTCGATACAACTGTTTGACTAGGCAATTCTCACACCTAACAGAAATTCATGCTTTTGTGAGAGGTTACATGCAGATGACATAATCAGGCACATCTACCCAAGTTTTGTTCTTCATTCACATACCCACTTGGTATTTTCACAGTTTACTGCTCAGTCAAGTTACTAGTACTACATTGGGTTTCTACTGCTCAGTCAAGTTACTACATTGGGTTTCTACTTTCTAGGGCAAGAGGATGTTATGATTGGCATGGTTCATTCTAAACTCAACAAAGTACGATTTGAAGGTGCACCAGAAAGTGTGATAATTCTCCAAAACATGGAAGTTGGAACACTAAGACACTAAATCTATGGCCAACTCAACTAATGACTTCATATGCCACTTTGGCCTGTGTTTTTCTGTTTCTTGGTCCCATTTTTCATACTGTATCATTCTTGCAACAATACTTACGGGAAAATGAGAATTAAATTTGAATGTATCACCTGCTCAAGCCACGAACCGAGTTTCCTCAAGAATCATATAATACAGTGAATAACACGTACATGTTCTCCCATCTTAAAGCAATCGCGACAAGGCTAAGGTCTTTCTAGCCAGTTAAACCACTAATGAAATCCATTGATGCGTGACACACAACCCGTTTTAGTTCTCAACCTGCACAAAAAGGACCACATACATGTTCTCCCATCTTAAAGCGATCGCCACAAGGCTAAGGTCTTTCTAGCCAGTTAGACCACTAATGAAATCCATTGACGCGTGACCTACAAAACCCGTTTTAGTTCTCAGCCTGCACAAAGAAAGGTGTTGCACATAGGTTAGCTAGTGTAAATCCTCAAGCAGACACTCAAGAATTTTTTAAAAAGTTGGGAATTTATGGTAAAACGTTGGCCCAAGGTGGAGCCAATGTTGAAAGGGGGCTGGAGATTATGTACGTGAATAACAAGTAAAAGAAACACCAACCTATTACTTAATAGTCAACATTACTAGCCGAAATTACATGCAGATTTGGTTCAAGTTCGTTGCAATATCCCTTTCAGTCATATTATGCACATCCTCTTGGAGACAACCCTCCTTGCTTCCATTTTGCTCAACACTTTTCAGTAATCATGGCAGGCCTATCAGATAACTGTGCAGACCGTAAATCTTCATCGTTGAAAAACGAAGTTAGTAAGGGCCCAGTTGGAGACTAAAAATGTCACAGATATAGAATGTTTAAAGCACAAGTTATCAAAGATGATGAGAAGTAATCTTAAGTTAAAAATTTAAAACATATCAATAAACACAAAAATAGAGAGAAAGAAAGATAAGAGACACAGACATACAGAGAGAGATCGAGAGAGAGGAATGATGGGAAATAAGACCCCTTGTACCTTCCTTTTCGTTGACCATGACAACTAAAGCACTGAGATGGACTTCCACTTCGCATGGTGGGGGGACCTCTTCAATTTCAGAAACTGATATACCAGCAGATATGCCTAGTTCAATCAGTGAGAAGTGCGTCTTCGGTTACAAAGATTCGCTCTCGTGTTCTCGCGAGGTTTGACCCATGCAACGACTCAAGCCTGGTTTACCATCCACCCAACCAGTTCAAGAAAACCCTGTCCTGCAGCAGAAAGAAAGTGTCAAACATTTCAAACAAATGCCATTTTAGTGTCCTTCGGCGATTTCGTTTCTCAAGAAAATATTACAAGTTCTATGCTTAAATTAGGGTGTACCACCACTCGTTCCAGACATTAAGCTTTGCCACATATTTCATCAAAGGTCCGAACAGGTGTTCCATAATTTGCCAAAAACAAAAAAACCGGAGTTCTTCGTATGATAGTTATACATTTCAGGTTATAGGAAAAACACAAACAGAATAAGTTAAATGGGCAAAAGAGAAAAACTAGATATGAGCCGTACTCAGATTGTGAATTGAAAACAACTAGAAGAGTCCGGTACAAGAAATCAAATCATGACAAGATACTGAGGCCATGCAGTGCTAATTTGAACAGGCTGTATAACAACATAGTCAATCTTGGTCATTAGCATCGATCCTATGTGTTAAATGTAGCGTACATGGCTACATGTGAAAGTTATCTGATTCCGAGATCTTAGGACACCAGAAGTGGAACTGCCTGCATATCAACTTGTCTAAACAGTATGGTGTTCAGCGTGGCACTTCATTTTGTGTTCAAGCACACTTAGCATAGAGGCCAATACTAACTGAGAGTGTGACTGCATATTCAACAGATATACAATGCCCTACTGATATCTTGTCCAATAAGAAGTGGCACATTGTCATCCTATTTGCTTAGAATTACAGAAAACTAGCAGTGGTATGCATGTAAGTTTCATGACAGGTACTTCAACCAGAGCAGTTAGACTTTGGGTCCATCCCAATGTTAAGTTGAACTCGGGTGACGAAGAATAACATATACAGAAATATAAGTATTGAGGAACAGAAAAGGCTAGATGTAATGAGCCATCAAGTGGCCAAAATTGGTTTGGTATTCATCTTTAATTGATTCAGAACGTTATTCCTCACGGTAGCTCTAGTCCGCATTACCACTGCAGCATCTAGGCACCACTTTAACAATGGAGATCCTATTTTGGTGTTCTACTAAAGACTCATATTCTTCTACCTCTTCTTTCCTCTTCTGAGACAATCTAACATGTCACTTTTCAATTTGTTTTCATGTCATTATGTTGGGCATCGAGCATGCTTAAACTCTAATACCACTATAAGCATCATTACTGCAGAAAAATAGCCCAAAATAATGGAAATGTAAAATTTTCACCAGTCATATGGCCACCAATTCATTATATTTTAGTTAAGAGCTGAACTTGGTGCAATGAAATGGTAGAAGATGTTACATAGGATAGGAGGACTTATCCAAATCAAATATCTCATACACAAGAAGAAAACAACAATCAATAACTGATATCAACAACGGAAACATGATAAACGCAGTTTTTTTAATTTAATGAAGAGAAATTGGATTTTGGAGGACACCATATTAAATGTAAAGAAACATATATCTCAAACTACTCTTGAAAGATGTTACAATTTATATTCAATCATCTTCCTGGACCACTTTTATGATTATAAAGATCAAAGGGCTTCTTCTTTACAACGTACAAACAGAAGAAACTCACAATCATTTTTTGGCAAGAGATTGACTATTTCATTAGAATCATGAAGATATGCCAGTTTCAGTAATACAATGTTCAAAATTCCTTCACATTAACCTTCCCTTCCAGCAATAACACTGAAATCTTTTAACTAGATGTGAAGTATAACTAGAAGAGAAAACAAAAAGAGAGGAAAGAATTCAATAAATCCTAGAGTTACAGAATCCTAGAGGAGTCAAAAAGAAAAACATTACACTGTGGGTGCACCGGAAAAGACCTCAGTCAGCATGTCATCCTCAATGTCTGCAGTCCCAAACAGCTCTGCTTCCTTTTCTTCCTCACTAGAAAGATCCCTTCTCTCGAGTTTGGCATGAGCTGCAATAAATATCATCTTCTGCACCTTTTCCAGGCCTACCCTTGAGTGCCTATGTACACGAATCCATTTCATGAAAGACCAATTGCACTTAAATCCACATGAGGTTGCATGGAGGAAGATAAGTCGCACTGCAACCCTCCCCAATGTCTTTAACTCACTTAGACAAGTTTCCCACACAAGTCTGCTGCTCTGCGGGTTTGCCATTTTCATCTTTCCAGTTACAGGATCTCGCTGTTTAACCTGAACTGCCTGAGCATACAGCGGGTCCATTCCTTCTGTTCTCCATTTCATGAGCTCCATCAATGCAACATGAGCTTCTTCCCTGGAAACCAACCTCGTAATGAGCTTATCTACATCCTTCTCCTGCTCGTGCGTCAAGCACTTGAATGGTGGAAGGTACTTTCCACTAGTGTCCCTCATCAAGTATATCGGGTCAAGTATAAATGCAGCCGACCATGCTGGGTGGTAGTTCTTTCTGAATCGTCTTTCAACTATTTTCTCAACAGGACCTTCGACAATGTTGAATTTGGCACACCAATCCTTTACTTTTGTTCTCAATTCTTCCCAAAGGGGCAGGCATTGCCCAAGTAATGGCCTCTCAGCCTCAATCTCCTGAGTCATCCCCCTGATCATCTTAACAAGTGAATAAACTGCCTCTAATTCATTCCAAAAACCTTCAGTTTGAATCATCCCTGCAACTTCCCTTGCAATTGGATCCTCCAGACATATCGCCTTATAGAAATCATCCAAGACAACCATTTGGAGTATGCGGGCACAGCTCAATATATCCTCCAGCATTGCATAGACAGGTGCAAAGTTCTTTGAGGTATCACATTTGGGCGAAGGAATTTGGATCAACCCAGCATATTCAAGCTCTTGCATCTTGTACTTCTCGAAAGCATGCCTAACCTCAGAGGTGCTATCTACAAAATTCGCAACCTTTAAGCAATTTTCAATGACAACCCTGAACAATGGAAGCTCTTTGTTAAAATCCTTAATCAAAGACATGAACCCCTGAAGCTGACAGGAGACGTTCACCATCCAATGGTTCTGAGTCTCCAAATTCCTCAGTGCCTTGGCCTTATACTTGTCCGCAACTATCCCCACGCAACGCTGCACAGCATTCCCACATATAGTGGTAACTGAGTCCCACAACACCTCTTCTGCATATTTCGTCGGAACTGACCCGCCAGTAAATACTGCCTTCTGGAAAACACTAATCCCATTCGGAAGATTAACCGTGAACTTAACAACATTCTCCTCCCCACAAGAATCCCTGCTTTTCCACCCATCAGAAGCAACTTGAAAAAACATTGCATCTCTAATCCTAGCTTCAGACTCAGCTTTCACCTCATCAAACTTAGCATCAAGTCGAGCACCCGAAAGCTCGCGCTGCAACAATGCAGGCAAGCCCACCTGGCTAAGGAAAGCCCTGAACTTGGGATGCTCGAGGCTCGAAAACGAGACCGACCCACATGACTCATAGAACCACTCAGACAGTAATTCAAGTGCAGAATCAATCTGCTCCTTATTAAGAGTGGCACCAGGCGAAGCTTTGGGACTCTTAAGTTTCTTCACACTTTTTTCTAACATTGCCAAAGCACCCAAATCCTCCTTCCCACCGGATAACACCAAATGGTGCTGATCTAGCCCCGTACTTCTCGCAATCCCAACTGGGTTTGGAGACTGTGAGAAATTATGATCACCGCAGAAGCCGGAAGACTCGATCATAGCTAAAGAATGAACCTGAATCGACGTAGGACTAGTAAGAGGAGGAGCTTGAGAAATAGGAGAAGGACTAATACCCATTTGCGAGCTCCGCTTTCTGTGATTGAGTGACGACGGAGACGGCAAGGAAGATATGGGAACCGGCGAAGCCGCCACCGTTGAATTGGGTCTCAAAACAGAGGTAAAATTCGGGCAGGTACCCCGTTTGAGATGCTCCGAGGCGGTTCTGGAGGGGTTGGAGGCGGAGAAGACGGCGTCGCAGAGGGAGCACTTGAGCTTGACGGCCTTGGGGACGTTGGAGTTGGGGGTGCGAACGAGAATGGGCTCCAAGTGAGCCCAGTACCAAGCTCCTTTCCCCTTTATGGCCTTTGTTCGAACAGTCACCAAGCTTTCGAATCGCCTGTTGAGGGCCCTAGCGGCTATGTCGTCCGGCGAGAGAGATGGGTCGGTGGGGGTTGAGTTTGTAGAAGCCATTGAAGCAAACGAGTTGAAATTGGGGAGTGTGAGTGACACAGTGAGTGAGTGAAGTGGTGGGCTTTCAGTGAAAGAACCAAGCTTTTTGGTGAGGTTGGTCTCTCACGGAGGTGGGTTCCGGGCATTTAGCCGGAAAGTGAAGGCCGCGGCGAAATGGGATTTGGGTTCGGGTTTGGGTTCGGGTTCGGATTGAAGTGGAGGTCCATTTCCATGGCGATCTTGGGAGTGAAAAGAGTGAAAAAAGATGGAAGCTTGAAGCTTTTCAAGTGAGCTTTAATGGTGGGAGGTTTGTGAAATACTCAAGACTCGGCTGCAAAACTGCTCAACTGCACCTTCATCACACAACAGAAATGAGGGAGTACGGAGACATTCATATAGCGCAGACTCTGCAGACTCTAGAGAGAGAAAGTGAGAGAGTGATGAAAGAGGAGAGAGAATTTTATTCGACATGATCAAACAATATAAAGATCTTTTTCTATTTATTCTTCTGACCAACAAATTTTTTTCTCTTTTTTGTTTTTTGTTTCCATTTTTTCTTCTCTGTGAGAATTTTTGCTAATATCTAAAGGACTGTATTATCCGCATATCATATTTTACTTCTCACACATCCTTTATTAATTTATGTTCATTTATCTTCTTCAATTCATCCGATCCGACGGCTAAAAATTAAAAGGATATGTGAAAAGTAAAAAATGATGTGTGGATATCACACCTCTATCTAAAAATCCTTGGAATTTCTTAGTGTTTGACATAAATGGAAGAAAATGTGTTTCCTTTTTATGGAATTTCAAAATTGCTTTCAATGCGTCTTGATTGGAGATTTTCTTTAGCTTAAGATGAAATTTTGTTGTGGTAAGTGCGTGACGTTAACTGATTGAAACTTCGTAATTCATATGGTAGAGCTTTTACATTTGTATTTGTAGTTCGGTAATCGATTTTTTAAGGCTCGTAATTCAATTATAGTATTCATCATTCACGTATAAAAATAAATAAATAAACATGAGTTTTGCACAAATATTTCTTAAATACGCAAGGCCGTAGACAATGGGTTTTCATTATTTTTACTTGGGATTCTATATAAATACTTTCATTTCTTTCTTTTTCTTTGGGATATTTTGGCTCAACACTATTAAGTGATAAAGATGCTCACTGTCCTATTTATCATTATTAAATGAGTTTAAATTTTAAGAATTGTATAGTGGATAGACATCCAATCGTGATAAATAAGGTACCATTTCCTTTGTATGTTATTGCTCCTTTGCATTTTTGTGGAGATATATCCTTTTATACCGTTATACATTGTATATATATCCTATGGACGGATGCATAGTATTGTTTTTCTTTCCTCTTATTGTGTTTGTTACCATTCAAGTTCAGATTCCATTCTTAGAGGAATAAAATACATCGACATTGTATACATATGTATATTGTCACGTGTATTGTTTTTATTTTAATTTTTGAAAGGTAGTTGGGAAGTCTAATATGTATCATATGTTGGATTCTTGCATATTATACATGTTGATAGTGAATTCCATATCAAGGAAATGAGAGACCTTATATATGCTTATAAACCGTTGATGCACAAACCGATTTGACTTTGAAACAACGCAAAGTGTCAAGATGTGACCCTCTATAGGTTGCTTCTATTACCTAGTGATGATAGTATGTAAAGAGATAAGAGATAAATAAAGCAAACACAAAATATACATGGTTCACCTTAAGTTTGATTACGTCCACCTTGATAGAGGAACTTTCATTAATAATGTAGAGTTTACATGATACAAGGGTTTAGACATAGTCATCATTTAGTGAGTACTAATAATAGATTAATTAAGTAGAATAATATCATCAGGGATCAATTGGGGGGAGAACAATCTTCTTTCATAGTCGAGGAGAGTCCCTTTTTTTCGTTAGCCGTCGATCTGGGACTAGAAGATTTATTCTAGTGTTGACATGTGTCGGTTTGTGATTGGTCTCATGGTTGGAGAGAAATTCATGTGCTTTGGCATGGGTGCTTTAGCATGACCTCTTTAGTAGGTCTTCGAATTTATAAAGTTGACGGGTGCTCAGTAATTTCGAGATTGGTGAAGTATGATGTAAACATAAGTAATTAGGCTACTCCATGTATTCTCATTACTTTTATGGTGGAACCTCAATTTTCTTCATGGTGTTAGAGCATATTGTTCTATGTGTAAAGCCCAATAGTGACACATGCTCCGCGTCACCCTGTTTGTGTTGTTCACGTTCACGTATAAGGTTTGAAAATTCGTCATAGGTGAGGGAACATGTTGATAGTGAATCTCACATCGAGGAAAAGAGGAACCTTGCATATGCTTATACGTAATTGGGCTACTCTCCATATAGTCAATTAGTTTGACAGTAAAACCCCAATTTTCTTAATATATTCACTTTAACCGTTTAAAATTAAAAATTTAGCTAATCCAGTATGATTATATAGGGATCTATATATATGATGATCAAGACTTGAAATATTAAGCAAAGCAAAACCGGTTAACTATTTGATTGTGATAATGTGATATCGTTTGTCAAACAAGAAAAATTATTTGATTGTGATAATGTGATCATCATACTTGAAAGTTTGGTGGAGTGGTTACAAGGGTGACCCATAAATATATCACTACTTTATGTTTAATTATTTTTATTGGATGATTTCAAAATTATAAAAATAAAAAAGGGGAGAACAAATTGCAAGAAAATTACCAAAAAAAGGAAAAGGAGAAGTTCATGAATGTCGTAACATTTGTTTATTGTACTTATAAAAGTGGTATTGATTTTATAAAAAAAAATATATATATATATATATATATTTATATAAGGATTGTGCTATTCACACATATTTTTTTTATATTTTACACTTCCCTCTCAAGATTCGGGCCTCAGATCGAGTGAGTTGAAAATGAAAAATGACAGAAATTAACAGTGGTGTATGGGATAAAAACAAGGGTATAAATGACACCGTCTTTGTACAATTATATTTAACTACAATAGGTATATGTGGTGTGGATGTGAAAAGTCAAAAAAGTATGCTTAATTATTCGAGTAAGAGGAGATGGCATCTTCACCTAAAGCATATGAGTGCTATGATCTATCCAACCTAAAGCTTTTTACATATGACATGATTTTAGATCCAAGGTCTATTTCAAGGTTGGAGAATGTTGAAAAAGATGATATGGATCACAAACTGCATTTGAATTACAGATACCAAGTTTCTGCATTTATTCATTTTGTCTTTGCATCATAAAAAAAAAATATGAGGTTTCATTTTCAAAGGGTTTTAAGATAGAATTATGTTTTGATGTCGAAAGCAGAGCAGTAAATGCTGTTGAAACTCAATCAATTGACAAATATCAAATCATTATTTTTAATTTTAATCAATGAGACACGTGTGCATTTGTTATTTGTTTTTCAGCAATACTTGCTATTCTTCTTTCAGCAGCGAAACATGATTCTTTAAGATATACTACTATATTAGTTTTGGATTTTTCTAGACTAGTAGAACGTCTCAATGCATTCTGGTTCAAACACTTTCCTATCTTTTTAGGCTAGCGTTGGGTACAAATATTGTTTGTAATCAAATCCCGCCAATAATGTGGCATAAACAATTTATTAATATTATAACACGTTGATTGATGAATCAATTATATGATGCAACACCAGCATAGTAAATGGGATACAAACATAAATCCAAGAATCAGTAAGCTGGAATCCATCAGGTTATAGAGAAAACATAAAGGTTTATTTGTTTGTTTTAGTTCATGAATGTTAATTACAATAGCAGCCATAAGGCTTAAATAGACTTCACTCGACCCTTGGGAAAGTCAGGGGAGTCTCAGAGTATGTAAAAAAAGTAAATCGAACATAAAATGAAAAGTTTTATTTTTATTACAAACTTTCAAAGGCAGTTTTGAAAGTCTAAACGACCTCAGATGACTTTAATCCATCATACATTATGGCAAAGTCGTGTGTTGAACTGGAACTCTATACTCCTTTCAGAAAGGTATTATGTGTCCAAAACGGAGCTTGGATGCCAAATCTGTAAATTCCCACCACACTCTTTTGTCTTCCTTTAGTTTATTTCGTTTTTAATCCACTCAATCATCTGTTCTACATCACTAAAACACGTGAACTAATAATATTGTATGACGATATTCCTATATTAACAACTTTTTCCAAACAACTATAAAAGAAGTATGTTCGTTGGTGGTAGCCTGGTAGGTTATTTTTCCCACAAAACAATATTAAAGTTTAGAAAATAGGAGTTCAAACTTGGAATCATAGGTCTTTACCAACATTTACATAAAAATATAGAGAAAGTATTTTCAAGATTCCAATACATCACCCTTATAATTACTTCCCATTAGACTAATAATTAGGTTTCAGTTAATTATTTTCTAACATTAATTTGTACACGAGTTTCACATTTATTGGGTGGAACCCAACCCCAATCGTATGGAATAAACTTTTTGATGAATTTAATAATTGGAATACCTTTTACTGTACGTTATTCGGCTCCTGTAAATTGTTTTCTTAATATCTTCAAAACATTGAACCACTCCCTATTTTTAACATTAATGATGTAGGACTAGGTTTTTTTTTTTTTTTTTTTAATCAAAACGGTTTCGTTTTAAAGTTAAGCAATAAAAAGTTGTTTAGTAAATTTAAAATATCTAATTTTTAATGACCTTTGAACGTTAACTTTTAAAAACATCATGTAAGTTGTTTTTATAAGCTGCTTTATAAAAAAATGGAGTTGAAGTTTTGATGAATATTTTCAACTCTTGTAATACCTTCATTAATTTAAAAAATGACATTATTTATCATTCTAACCACTCACAACTACAAAATCTAACCACTCACACCACCACTATTGTTGTCACCACCACTCATGCCATCTTTAAAATTTATCACGCTTTTTCGTTGTTTTTTTTTATACTCACAACACTTTTAAAAATGCATTTTATTAACAGCTCAACTGCTTTGTTTTACAGCGGATTATTTTAAAAGCACAACATAAGCAGTTTTAAAAAACAAGCACAACAATCCCAAATGGCCCTAAGTCAATTTTACTCACTGAATACTGGGATTTCAAACTAAGTCCCAAAATGAGTCATTCATAATAATTGGTTTTTGAACTTGCCATACAAATGAGTTAAGTTTGATACTTCCCACTTATACAGATATATAAATGTCGTTAGATCGTATTTTCTATTTTTCCAAACTTAGGAGGCCATAGTTCATATAGTCAATTTCTTCCGAACTTACTACTTTTGTAATTTGAGTATGTGAATTAAGTCAATTGGTTAGGAGAATGTGCTTGTCTCCTTACAGAAGAGCTTAAATTCTCTCCTGTCATATCAAAATAATTTAAAACATTGAATTATCAAGAAAAAGATTAAGTATACTTTCTAACTATATTATAACGCTTGAATTAATAACATT